CAGGAGATGGGCTAATGTGTAATATGTCCCTAACAGGCAAAGAAAATCCCGGCATCCTTGGGAAGAGGAATGTTTGTGCACATGAGGCCCTCTTCACTCAGCCCAGCCTCTTGTACCTTGACACCAAGGAGACTTGGTGTCAGCTGCTGAGGACCCAGACAAGCAAGCCTAGACTGTGCTTTGTCTCCATTCCAGCAGGCAACATTAATGTCAAGAGAACAGTTGAGCAACAGAGAGCTCAGCAAAGTGTGAGAGGCCTAATGGCAGAGACCTGAACTGTTCTGCAAGTGGGATTTTCTGGAATCCGGGAAATGTAACTCAAACAGTATAAGTCAGGTTGAAAATTAGCCTTGAACCCGACCCTACAGTCATAACGACTCACAGTAAAAATGGAATAGCTATGACATCATGAATAAATGAACCTTCCAGTTTACAGATTAAATCTGGATTATAATCAAACCGCATCAATTATAAAAAGAGGTTTCATGAAGACAAAATACTTTTAAACACCTAGAATCCTGGGGCAATTTGAATTGACAGGGGATGCTATTTAAAATCAAGCATAATAAAGATGATTTAAAAATTATTTTCCAGAGCTATGGTTAAGAGTGTACATTGCTCTTGCAGAGGATATAGGTTCAATTCCCAGTACCCACATGGTGACTCACAACTGTCCAGTTGGACCTGATTTCCCATGGGCTCCTATACATTTGAGCATATACACAAAAATTAAATAATATTTTACATTAATTTATCTTACATGTATGACCATTGAGTATACATGTCTATAAATGCAGGTTATTTAATGACAGAGTTTCCAACCTCTTGGTATCACAGTTTTGTTTTGTTTGATCCTATGGACCATTGTCCAGTGCAACAATATCTATCTAAGGATCTTCTGAAGCAAGATCAGCTTTCTATGTGTGTCCCTGAACTTTGGAAGGTTAAAAAAAAAAAGAATAAAACTTTAACTCAACAGTACATCCTGCAAGGCACTTAGAAGATTGCAGCACAGTGACTTGTGGAAAATTTGTGATCATTTGATGCTTACAGTTTTGTTTGGATATTAATATGCAATGACAGATTAAGTAAAACAGTTAATCGGGAATAGCTTGGGTTGTAGACAGCCAAAAAGACAGAAACAAAGTGCCAGTAAACTCGTACAATAAAGCAATGGCAAGCTGGATATTTATTCTAAAATCATAACTATGTGGTGATATATTTATGATTTACTAAAGCTTGCCTATGGGTACAGAAAGCAAAGCTATATATATAGGTCAGGCAGTGGTTGTAACGTATAGTTTTCCCAGCCAACCGACTGGGCCATGTCACAGTTGCAGTCCCCAAATAACACACAAGACACTATATTAATTATGAAGCTGTTGGCCATTTGCTTGTTTCTTACTGGCTAGCTCTGATTTAAGTATTTAACCCATAATTGTTAATCTAAATATTTCTCTTACTGCAGAAAAGGGCCCAGACCTCTTACTCCTCTGGAGGCCTACATTGTATCTGCCTGTGTCTCTCCCAGAATCCTCCTCGACTCCTAGTCCCACCTATCTTGCTCCCCTTTTGGCCAACAGTGCTTTATTCAAGCCGATCAGACACATATTTACAGAATGACATCTCCCAACAAGTGGTGGTACACACCTTTACTCCCAGGACTCGGGATTAAGAAGTAGACGGCTGGATTGCTGTTAGTTCAAGGCCACACTGATTACACAAAATTGATCCAATCCTAAAAGAAACAACTCACACAAAGGTGATCTCAGCACCTGGGAATCACACACCTCTAAACCCAGCACTAGGGAGGTGGAGACAGGAGTGATATGGCTGGATGGAGAAAGGAATATAAGGTAGGAGGAGACAGGAACTGAGAGCTTTTGCCTCTGAGGATTCATGGAGACAGGATTACCATTATAGCTAGGTAAAGGTAAAATCTACTGGCTTGGCTGCTTTGCTTCTCTGATCTTCAGCTTGAAGCTCGAACCTCAATATCTATCTGTCTTTGGGTCTTTTATTTATTGTGTTACAAATATAATCTCTCTTTTGAAAATAAATCTCATGGTCTGTGGAAAGGAAACAAACTTTCAGGTCCCCAGTGTGCCTTCGTTAGGTGCCTACATGGATGTGACAAGAATGTGAACAGGCAAAAATGCAAATGTATAAGCACTGGTCGCATAAGAACACCAGCCTAGAAGGCTGGAGAGTCGGCTGTAACTCTGTGGCTCAAAGAGAAAGACTAAACATGCTCAAATGCCTTGAGTCACTAAGGACGATGCTTGCGTCTGCAGAGTCATCCCACCAGGCGCTGGTTTGCCGGAGCCCACAGAAGTCAGAGCTCTGAACCCTGCAACCCATAACACACAGCTCCTATGCTCACTCAGGTCCACACATTTGCACATGGCTGACTTCCGGGAGACAGACCTCAACCTGCCTAGACGGCTAAGAACCACTCGTGAAATAAGCTCCCTGCACTGTGTTCCCAGGCCTTGCTGAAGAGGTCCCGGTCCATATCCTACTGGCTTTGAGAAACATCTGTGACCAAACCCAGAAAGAAGCAGCAAGGCTGAGGTTCACAAAGGCTCACCGTGAGTCCTCCATGGAGGGAGTTTTTGCCTGGGCTCCCTCCCAGAGGAAGGCAGAAAGGCTGTTCAGGTCTGACTACCTTGTCCTTGCTGTGTGGCCATCACACACACAGCCACTCCATTTCTTGCCTCCATTTTACATTTTAATCCACCCGCCCCCCATGTCTTTATGCTACCTCAATAGCCTTGGACTTTGCTTCCCTCACAAACTTGAAAAGGGAACTGAATTCATCAAGGCAGAAAAAAAGAAAGAAGGAAAAAAAGCAACCCAAACAAAACAAAGACTCGAATCGTTTCTCTTCCACCTATCAGGGAGTTGGGAAAGATGCTCTGAAATGTATTTTGTACTTAGCCTCTGAAACTGTTCTGTTCAAATCTTCATTAACTTTTCTGAGAGCATGCTATAAACCTTTACTGAAGCCTTCCTTGCCGGAGTCAATGCTGCCACTTGAACAGCAGGGGGCAATAGCACACCAAGAATGCAGAAACCGTCCCAGGCTGCGAGGAACCCTGTGGAAGGGTTGCGCTAGTCTCTGTAAGAGCGATGATCTCAGCTCAGATGAAGTCTTTTGTTTTGTGTCCTATTTTACAATGCACGGTTCAGTTTTCTATATGAATTGTGACTTAAGCAGACTTCACTGTGACAGCTAGGCTTTAAAAAATTAAAGGTAAAGAGAAAAACAGAAAAGAGAAAGAGAAAGTTAAAACGCTCTCTAATAAAACATGTAGAGAAGGCAGAATTCCCCATAAAGATAAAAAGTTTGTCCCTTCTCTGCTACATCCCTAATTCTGTCTGTCTACAGAGTTAACTCATCCCTACTTTCCCTCACACATATTTCTCATTTCATACTGCTTTCTTTGCCACACAGTCTTCTGTTTTGTATTGTTTCAGATTGATGTTTTTAAACTGTCTTAAACCAAATAGTCGGCTTCCAGAGAACCCAAAAGAGCCTGTCCAGTTCTGAGTGTAGAGGGTGGGATGTTTTTGTGCCTTTCAAACTTTTGTTACTCTAGGTACTTTTCACTGGTGTGTGTGTGTTGCAACAACAACAACAAAAAAATTGTCCCCTGTAGCCACAAAGCTTCAGATAAATAGCCCAAAGCTGTCACTGAGATCTCTATCTGACATGCTGGAGGTAGAGTACAAAGTTCACACTGAAACATCAGAGACTTGAAGACCATTATATTCAAGGACCATTGCAATGGAATGGGCTGGGAAGGGCAAAAGGTGCTTAGGAATCCAAGTGTGGGTGCTTGGGTGCTGCAGGGCCTCTGCCCACACTGTTCTCTATCTGGAACATTCTCTCCTCAATTATCCAAACGACTCAATCCCTCACCTACCCCAAGTGTTTGTGCAAAAATCACATTCTAGGTGACAAGGTGGCTGTCCCAACCACTGATGCAAAAGCAAAGATCCACTCCCTCCTCAGCTCTCCTAACTGACCTTTGTCTACTTTTCTCAACAACACTAATCACAGTCAGAGCAGCTCACACACACCAAAGTTACACATTTGACTGGCACATTCCATCTCAGATGTCTATCACAGGCTTCACCCTCTGGAAAAGGGAAAAACATGGACTAGTCCCAATAAAACCCACACATAAAAGACAACAGTAAAACTGAAAATAATCCAGGAATGATGACAACTTCAGAAAAACAAAAAGGATGGATGGAACAACAGGCAAAAGAATAGCAAAAAAAATGCTTATTAAAAAAGAACTGATGTTTTTAAATCAAAAAGCGAGAAATTCAGACCCCAAACCATCTGAACAAAGCACATCTTATTTTCCCACAATTTGTGTTTTGTGGTAAAATAAAATATTTATGAAAAAGTATATAGCCAATAACCCAGCAAGTATGTCCACATAGAAGTAATTACAATTAATTTAAAGAAAAATTAAAACACATGGATAATAGTAGTATGGAGCATAATCTCTTAATTCAGTTCAAATTTAACAAATATATTTATTTAAATTGCCTAGGATTTATATTTATAGGCAAAATAGGCATATTTTTGAAAAAGTACATGAAGACATATAACACAAATAACATTCCCTATTGACTATATGATAAACCAGAAATCACAGCATCAAATTATATTCTGACATTGACAGTTTCGTTTTTTCTATTAAATGAAGCTTAGACAAAAGGAAGTATCAGCTGATACTGAGATTTTCTAGAAAAAAATAAAAACATAACAATAGAGTCTAAAGAATGTTTAGAATAAAAATGAGAGATGTAGATAACTATACCAATAAAAACTAGAAACTTAAATAAATAAGTTAGATAGTCCACACAGAAGAATACAGTTAAATATGATAGTGGGGTTTTTTCATAGCTTGTATTTAATTTTATTTTTAACTAACAACATAAAACAAATCCTGGTAGATTAACTACATTTAGCATTTTATTAGTAGTTCTAATGTTGTAGCGAAAGGTAAATAATCATAAAATTCAGGAACTTATCATCTACAGCATGAGAAAAGAGGAGCAACATAATATCAAGTAAATAATTACGTTATAATCTTTTGTCAAATATTACCACAAATTTATGCTTTTTTCCTTCTCTAAAAAAATCATATTTCCAAATCTTCTTTTGAAGAGTAAGCAGCAATGCCAAGCCATGAACATCCTGAGGTGCACAGACTGCATTCTCCAGATGCCATTTGCCCTGGAAGCTGTAAGGGCTCCCTGGGAAGTGTTGATTTTAAGTCTGGAACAGTATAGTACAGAACCACACCGGAAATGAGACCAGGGCTCTGACATTGCAGAAAGCAAGAACTCTATCAAGCACTTAAAATTGTGTCAGGTAAGTAGAAGTAGCAAGGATGGGCAATTTGAGTCTCCATGAATAATGGCTACAATTATGTAAAAAAATAGAGATGCTTTCAATGAAAAACTCCTGAATCAATAACAAATTAAATGTAACAGCAAGATATAAAATTACATGTAAAAATCATTATGTTCATTGTTTGGGGCAACAAGCAACTGCAGGGATGATCCTATTTTACAATACAACCATAAAAGGAATCATCCTAGGAATAATTTTAACCAGACGTATAAGCATCCTATATAGAAAACACTAGAAAGTCTTGCAGAATGTCACAAAACTGGGTCTCAAAATGAAAAACAAACCATGTTCTCTGATAGGAAAACGCATCAAATTATGGTCAGTTTCTTTAAAAAGCATTTTAATGGAGCTATATTCTATAGTATATATATATATATATATAAACAAGAATATAAAAAACAAGCAGCAATGGGACTGGCCTAACCCTTTCAGACATTGCAATAGATTGTACAGACTATAATTAAAACAGTAAATTTAGAAAACGACAATATCTAATCAATGTGGACAAGGAAAAACACAGATAAAGACCCAAGAACAATGTAGAAATTTACATAGGTAACATGCCACATCTCTGGATGTAAGGAGAAAAAGAACTTTATAAAATTAACTATTGTTAGACAGCCATTTAAAAACAGAAAAATTGGATGTATCATCATCTAGGTAGAATTACCACCAGTCTTATCAATATGCATAAATCATCAAATGAGTGAAGGGAATTCTGGAAGAACACCCGCCCTTGTCAATACAGAGAGGATGGAAAACTGCCCTAAATCAAAGGAAGCCGAAAATAATTGACATCTAAATGCGGCATCTGATCTACTTAATCCTGATTTAAATTACGCCAACAAACAATAAAGTAAAACATGTTTTTGGAACAAGTGAGGATATTAGAACACATTAGCTCTATCAGATTGAAGTTGCTAATTTGCTAACTTTGTAACATTTCCCGTCCCCTTGCATTTTGAGCCTGTGGGAATAGTAGTCAATATGGGCAATTTTGCTAGATCCCAAATACATGCACATACTTAGGAGATTTCGGGGACATTTTGTTTGTCAGAATCGGCGGGCGTGAGGGATTGAAGCCGGAATCTAGTGATTAGAAACCAGGGATGCTGCAAAATACTAACTCCCTGCAGCTTACTGACACACCCCAAGACCACCCAAACCAAATCGCCACCACCGCGGGTGGTTGAGAAACGCTGGCGGAGAAAAATCGCATATTCTGAGAAACTAGGTTGCAGCACAGGACCTTGCCGTTTGCATGAGTCCCGTATGGGCGGTGAAGGCAGACAGTGTTCAGGCTAGTTCAAAATCCTGCATGTGTCCTTCCGCCCTCAAGCACCGGGAGAGACCGGTTCTTACCCACCTCTCACCAAGCCGCTGGGCTGAGGTGGGCGGAGTCTTGCGGTGGGCGGGGTCTGGATTGGCACTCCGCATGCGCAGAGCAGCCCGCCGCGCCCACGCCGTGCTACTACCAAAGTTGCAAAGCTCCGAGCGGACCGGTCAAAAAGGTGAAGATCCCGGCAACCAAGGAAAGGGAAGGGCGCTCCGCTTGGGCTGCCCGGATCGGTAAGGAGCCTCGCTCAAGCCAGAAGCGGCTCCTGCTGCTCGAACTGCTAAAGTGATGCAAGTATTCTCCTGTCCCACCCGGGCTGCATCCTGACACCGAGTGGACTCCGCCCCCGGAGTCCGTGCATCCCGAATGTCCTGGGCATCCAACACCTCGGGTTGCATCTGGCCACACCCCGCTCCTTGCCGGTTCCTCGCCCGCCATCGCCTGCCCAGGTAAAAAAAAACTTTATACACCTTAAGATCAGCCTGGAGAGTCGCTGATTAAGAGTCACCAGTTCTGGGGGGCGAGGGGTTCCCGGTGAAGAGCCAACTCTGTCACATACAAGTCTTTCTCAACCTTGTAGAAGAGGAGGAAACACCCACTCACGACCCGGGGCCTTACACGCTTGCAGGTTGCAATGGCAGGCTAATTCTTCACTTTGTGGGAGCCTCGTCCTGCGCCGCTTCCCTGGTGCTTGTAGAAAGAGCCCAGGTTCTGTAAGGATGCTCAGGTTTTGCTTGCCCAAGCTCTGCTCAACGCCCCAGGAACCCCACGCACCTGTTTGCTCCTCCTCCGGTTACCTGGTGAGTTCCTGCCTGCTAAGACCATCAGGAACCCTGAGAACAGTAGCCACACACACCGGCCAGCCTTTTATTCTGAAATAGCATGGCTTCCTGTGGAGAGCAAAAATCCTACATATTGGCTAAATTAGCTTAGTGTAAAAATAATACGGGATAAACTATTACATTTTGATAATTGCTCCTTTGTTGTGATAATATGCCCAGTGTGATCATTTGAAAACTAATGAGAAGTGTATAGAAAAATGTTGAAATTCTTCTACTTAATCCCAACACATTTAAAACAACTTGAAAATATTTATGTATTCTTTTAGTTCTTTTTTTCAGTGCTTACTTGGTAAGACCACTTACTGAACAGCTAGGTTTTTAAAGCTATTTAACGTTTGTTGAAACACAGCACAGAAAATAGTACACCGATTACAAATACTGTTCAGTACATAAACATACTCTGGCAACCACATCCAGATAATATCAACTATTACAAGTGTCCATCATCCCAGTCAGTAACAAAGATAGCACACTCTCCCTAAATACAGATGTTGCCTTAGCCTTAATTATTCTAGACATTGTCTTTTTCTGTCATAATAGTTATTCATCAAATAGTCTGTAATTCCCTGGTCCTTTCATTCCATACTATATCTGAATTCGTGTATGTTGTTCCTTATAATGAGTCAATTTTGAAACATTACTTTACTCTTAATGTGTGGCCTCCGATTTTCTTAATATACACAAAATACTTCATTAATAATGGTTCTTAGGAGATATAGTTCATGTCATACAATTCATCTGATTAAAGTATGTGACTTTCTTATTATGTTGACTTTGTGCAACCATTACCAAATTTTAGAACAGTTCACCTGAAAAGCAACTCCATGTCATTTGCTTATTACCCTTTGAAGGTATCTCCTCTATCCCCTTCAACTCCAGTAACCAATATCCTACCTATGGACTTGCTTTATGTGATCATTTTCTACAAGTTGAATCATGTAGTAAGGAAATATTTTGTGCCTGGTCCTCCATAGTGATACATAGTGTTCATTTATTTCTAGGTTTGGTGTTCTTACAAATAATACTCACATGAATAAATATTAATCTTGTATGTCTTTATGTAGATACATGCTTCTTGGTAGACAGACCTGCATCCTGAATAGCTCAGGCATGGCCAGTGCTGTGGCTCCCTTATATTTACAGTACAAGCTTTTCAACTTTGCAGTTCCACTAGCATTGTATGATGAGAACTCAGTACAACAGAGAATTGATCCAGAACCCAGTTTGTCATCAATGGAGTTAACTGTTCTCATAAATAACAGTTTTGTATCTATTTAAAGAACTGTATGTTTTATATCTATTCAGAGAAATAACACTGTTAAATGGAAAATTACCTTGCTGAAATAGAATTGCTCTCTGTGTGGCTACACTTACTAGACCCACCAGGCCCAAACTGTTACACTGCTCTGGACAGTGTCAAAATGGCTTCCCAGGTCATGAAAACATTTCCTGAGTGCGCAGCACAGATTGAGAACCTCGCTCACACAGCCTGCCTTCGCCTCCTGCCCATGCCCTTTCTACCCTCATCTTTTAATGCTTAAGCTTCAAACCACACTGGCACCTGTCCAGCTCAGAGCTTCCAGGATTGTTTCTCCCTCCCTCTCCTGATTGCTCCTCCCCCAACTATCCTCTGGCTGACTTTTTTCTTCTTCAGGTCTTGGTTGAAATCTTATTTTCTCCGTGAGGCCTGAGAGAAAAAAAATAAACAAAACAAATCTTGCATATTCTCTCTCCGTGTGCATTGGTTTGTTGGGCCTGCCACAGCTAATACACAGAGTAAATGGCCTGCTTAAGGGAAGCTTCTTATTTGTGGAGGCTGAAAGTTCAAGGTGAAGGTGTTGGTAAGTTTGGCTTCTCTTGAAGCTTTGTCCCTGTGTGCTTGAGCAACCCCAGGATCGGAGTCCAGACTTCCTCTTGTCAAGGATATGAATTAGAGTAGGGTCCACCCTGAGGTTCTCATTTTAATTATTTCCTTAAGTCTCACCTCCAGGGCCTGGAGAGATGGCTAAGGAGTAAAGAGCTCTTGTAGTTCTTATACAAGCCCAAAATCTTGTTCCCAATGCCCACACTAGGAGCTCACAGCTTGGTATGTGTGGGGGGGCAGTCTAACATTTTTCTGGCCACTGTGGGCACCTCCATATACCTACCACAGACACATGAACATCATTAAAAATAAAATCTCTAGGTATACAAGTTATGGTGCCCGGGTTGTAAGGACTTTAAAATAGAAGAATTTTGTAGAAGGAACATAATTTTCTTCATATTTGCCATCCATAGTATATTTTTGTTTATAGTTCTTATTTCAAATATAGTATGTTTTAGTTACTACTTTATTTGTTTTCTCATCTTCTGTCCCACTAGAACTTTTATAAGGGAATGTTGTAAACAGTGTTGTTCTCTGTGGTGTCTTTAGAACCTCAGATGAGTTTAAGCAATGACAAAAGTATTGTTAACACCTTTACCCCAGGCTAGCATATGGGCAGTGTTAATTTATTCCTAGTAGCTCTCTGGAGCTTCTGTGATTTTTTTTCATGAATGAAGAAAACCCTCTAAGTATTCCAGGAAAGCAGACATTTTTAAAGTTATGTTCGATTTTCTTAACAGAGAAACATTAAAGCGGTAAAAGATGTAGCTTTTCCCCAAGGAGTCTTAAGAACGTTGTATGCTGTTTCCAGAGCAACTGCAAGATTTTCCTGATTAATTAGGATGAGGACTCATCCACGTTACACCTAGTATCCATCCAAATTGCCTACTCAGTCACAAGCTAACCTGTACCACCTTTTTGTTTTTCTTTAGGCAGTCAGGCTCAGAATGGACTGCGAGCTTTCAAAAAAGAAAAAGACGGGAAACCACCAACAACAATGTTGCCAACGGTCTTTATAGCTTGCACAAAGTCAAGCAAAGTATGTTCCCATTTATGTAATATCAACAGTCTGCTTACCTACTGCTTTAGTCTAGGCTATTCTTGAATGTAGTGCCTTAAACAAAATGTAGATACATTGTACTTGGGACTGTGATCCCAGGAACAGGAAAGAAAGACAGGATGGTTGAATCTGAGCACATGGCAAAGGAAATTGGGACAGCATTGCCAAGAGCTCACTGTTAGTGCTGTGTGAGGCAGAAGCATCTCATGCTTTGTCTCACAAATGTCTCTCTGATAGACAAGAGAGAGAAGCATTTCTCTGGCAGCAGCCATATCTGTGTGGAGGACTACTTGCTTGAGATCTACCATCTTTCTATTTGATACCACAGCATCACTGAGCCTCAGGTAGGAGGCTGGATGCTTAGAACAGTGCTTGAAGTACTGTTAACAAAGAGCAGGGTCTGACTTTCCAGAACTATGACCTGAACCCAAAATTGAAAAGACCTGAACAGTGTATCACAGGCCTGTCATAGTCTGCATAATACATGTTTAGGACTGCATAAATCTATTCCCACTTCTTTCTATAATCATTTTTATGTAGACAGGGTTGACAAAAGGAAGATCAAATATATTAGGAGTTGCTTGTTTATAATAGTTTTGACCTTGAGTCGTGTTTGTTCATAAGAGAAAACAACAGTGGAATTTGGAAAATTTGGACATTATTTTTGCCATTTGGTGGTGACAAATGCTTTTAATCTCAGCACTCGGGAGGCAGAGGCTGGCGGATCTCTGAGTTTGAGGCCACCCTGGTCTACAGAGTGAGTCCCAGGACAGCCAGGACCACACAGGGAAACCCTGTCTTGAAAAATAAACTTAAAAAAAAAGAAAAGAAGAAAAATCAAGTATTCTACTTGAAATGTTTGCTCATGGTGAGTGGTGTCAGTTACCGTTTTCGCTCATGCAATTTCAGAAACAACCATGAACTTCTTTTGTCTCTGAGAACTTAATAAATTATTATCACAGACTCTCCCTAGTGACAGAAAACATGACTAATGGAGAGAAACTGCTAGAAACATAAGAAAAGCATTAAGATAATGAACATCCTATGAAGTGATGGCATTAACATTTATCAGAAAATGTGGGACTGCATGATTTGTCTATTCCTCCTTAAGAAATACTGATAACATCAACAACTTACTGCTGTTTAACTGATATTAATAAGAAAGCCATCGAGTCATTTAACTCAGTATGTGTTGAGTTCTACTAAGTATATGGGATTGTCATAGGCTGTGAGCAAGTCATCATGTAAAATAGTACACCCAAACACTTACAAATGTGTGTCCTTGTAAGGTATGTTCCAGAATACTTACACACTTAAGTCGTAAACTGGATCACCACAAACCAAGTTTCAAAAGACTAAAGCCATATTTAATATGAATAAAACTGAAAATTAAGTTCATAAAGATACAAAAGGATTCCAAATGCTTGCAATTTAATTCCAAATGTTTGTAAAAAAAATCAAAAAACAAAAAACCCAATGACTAATGAGTCAGTAAATCATATTAGAAATTAGAATATGCTTTGAAATTAATTCTGATTTTAAAATACCATGAGTTGGTGTGAAATTGGATGTTTATGGGACCTGGATGTAGTGATGCATGTTTGAAATCCCAGCCTTGGGAAGTGGAGACAGGAGCTAAAGCGTGCATAGAGAATTCAAGAGAAGCTGGGCTGGGCTACGTGAGACCCAACCTTATTATTTTTTTTAAAAAAGCTCAATGGAAATATATAGCTCTAAATAAATCTAAGCATTTGTGCAGAAATATTTTTAAAAGATTCTTAATCAATCTTCTGAAAAACAAGAAGGTGGGTTTGGGATGCAGTACTTGCGGAGGCCAAAAAAGAGTGTTAGAACCTGGAACTGGAGTTAATAGGTGGTTATGAAGTACCCTGTGTGGATGCTATGAACCAAACCCCCATTCTCTGCAAAAGCCCTTACCTCTGAGCCATCTCTTTTAGCCTGTGATGTTTCTGTACAGTAGCTTTCTGGGTGTTTGAGCAGACGAATTTGCTGAGTTGAGAGAAGGACTCAAGTTGGGATGGGCGGGATGAATTTTCATGACAAAGTACCATTGAGGTGGGAAGATAAGCACACAGAAAGTTTCTGAAATCTGAAAAAAGATCACTGTGTGCTTTTTGTTCAGTGCTCGGCTTCCCACTTCTCAAGGTTGGCATGAAATCGGGACCATTTCGTCTGCAGCCAGCCACAGCTGACAGTCCTTAATGAGGACAGGATCTCTGAAAACTTATGCATAACACCAGTGGGGCTCAACTGGCCAGATTAAAGTACCCCACCCCAAAAGGAACTTGAGAACAAGCTTGAATAGTGTCCTACTGACCCAATATAAATTCCTCACAGAACAAAATAGAAGTTTGTTAGGTCAGCCCTCCCAACAAGCACTTACAAAGACGTGATTATGTTTACAAGAGTTTCATATGGGGATATGTCTGTGAGAGTTGAAAAGGATAGGAAACCATTGAAGGTGGAATATTTAGCTCATATAACCTACTTCACCTTGTCCATGTGTGACTGGGAATACCTGAAGCATCATTTCTGGGTGTATCATTTCTGGGTGTGTCCGTAGGGTGTTTCTGGAAGAGATTTGACATTTGAACTGATAACATGAATAAAAGAAATTGTGGTTCTCAGTATGGCTGGGCATCTAATGAATAAAGACAAAATGCAGACGGGAGATTGAGGTCTTTCTCCACCTGACTGCTGAAGTGAGGCCTCCATCTGCAGACCTTGGGCTGGGGCTAACACAATCAGTGCTCTTGGGTTTCAGGTCTTCAGGTAGCAGATCATGGGACTTCGCCTCCATGGTGGTATAAGCAATTCTTTATAATAAACACCTGGGTGGGTGGGTGGATGGATGGATCCTATTGGTTCTGTTTCTATGAGAAACCCTAACAGAGAAAGACAGAGTACCAAGATGATTGTGCTACAGTGAGATTCTAATCAAGTTTAAGGTTGGCTGACAAGCCAAAGTTTCCCAGTGGAGACATCCCCTACTTCACAAGAATAAGCCTATGTTAGTATACCTGCTTTACTCAGCTACTGTTCTCATGGAATGAGCCTATGGGAAATGTAGTCTTAGCAGGAAAATAACACTGGCTTCAGAGCAGCAGCAAGGACCACTAAACTCTCCTCAAGCAAAAGGTCCAGGCGGTGTATTTTCACCCCAGTTCACTCTAACCCTTGTACTGTACATCCACTGCATAGGGATGGCTTGACCTGACTGCCAGAAAGATGGCTTAAGTGCCAAAAGCAAGTAGGAGCCCTTGCTAAGTAATTCTAGAAGTAGGTGAGTATTCTCCTTTCCCAGTGAATAATCACCCTAATAAGTGGCCAGAAATCCATTTGGGGAAGAACTTGAGAGTCATAACAATATGCACATGTCATTGTATAACAGCATCTTTATTTGTGAAGGCTGAGCCACTTTTCCAATCTCTGTAACCCTTACAATTTTCTTCATGTCTGGAAACTGGAGCAAGGGATTGTAAAGATTCATCGGGGACAGTACCATTAACATCTTGCTTTCCATTCTTAACTTAATTACTTACAGAAGTTAAGCCACATCCTTCCTTCTTGCTCATCTGTTTTGCCTGTAGGGGTGTTACCTTCAATTAATCATCTCCCTAACACCCTGTAAGTCAAGCCCACTTAACTACCCCTTCAATTTTGCCAGTTGTTACAGTAATTATGGCCTCTTGGCTTTTGGTAGCTAAGCACCAGTCCTGCAGGGCCCTTTATTACTTCAGGGTCCATTACCCTGAGTGATATTAACAAGCCCAGTGCCATGACCGCCTATCTAAATACAATACAGGCACCATCACTTATCTCAGTGATACTGGTACCCTCTCATAGGAATGTTCCTGGTGGCCTTGGTGAATTGTGTGTTCTCTGCTCCTTGCCTTGGAGCAAGCCACCTTCCCTCACAATATATCCATCTCAGCGTGACCATTTCCCTTGGTCAGTTTATATCTTCCCTATGTGCCAGAACAATGTGGACATCACAGCTTTGCTCAGAAATGACCCTTTCCCTTTTCAGGCCTTTAAAAGCCACTCTATCAAGGAATTTGTTTTACCTTTTTCCTAGGTGTTTCTCCTGGGGTAATATCTTAGTCCATTTGTGCATCTGTAACAAAATATCTGAGACTGACTAATTTACAAAGAGCATAAATTTATTTCTCACTGGCCTTGAGGATGTAAATATAAAATTAAAATGTCAGCAAGTTTGGTGTCTAGTGAGGTATCGTACACTGTTTCCACATGGTAGAGTGGAAGACTGAGGTCTAGAGAACTCCACTGCAGCTCATCTTAGAAGTCACGAATCCAATTCACCTTCACCACTTAATGTCTAAAAGATACCAACTGTTAATATGCTCACACTAGAAATTAAGTGTTTTCACACTTGAGGTTGGGTAGACAGACCACACCAGATGATAAACACTTTGTAACTGAAATATTCCTAAATAAATACATTCTTGTAAGTCTGCCTTTATATCTACCACCTCAGAAAAACAATGATCCAATTCACTCACCTGGCTTTTGCTTATGTGTCACACAGCATTCTTCCTGCCTTGTCAGACGCAGGATAGCTCCACTGACTCAGTGTGGAATTTAACTAGTCATCTTTAAGCAGTCGGAAAGAGGACAGACATTTCATGGGTGACGGGGCACACTCCATCATTTACCTTTCAAGACCTAGCCTTTGGCTGTCGATATACTGATTGAGGATGTACGTAGCTTTCCACCAAGCACTGTTTGGGCCAATGCAATTTCATTGCTAAACTCCTAAATATTTAGCAGGAAAATACTACCAAGCTTGCAGGATTTGTCAACTGAATAGGAAAACATCAGTGTTTTTGACTTGATAGCTGAAACAAATGCATCCCACTTGTAGATGATAAACAGAAAGTTGGAACCCAAACCTGACAAAACAACAGAATAAGGGAAATTATAGACCCAACCTCAAAGATAAGATGCCTGAATGAACCTGAAAAACTCATATAGAAATAAGATGTTATTCACTATAAATTTGTTAACCAGTTAATTTTAAATTTATAATCAATTGTGCACAAACGAGGTAGACAGAAGACTTGGGTAGTTTCTGGATTTTAAGGTCCTTCATACATGTTTTGGATGAGTCATTTCACTACACTGTAAAGATATGAATCTCATCACTTTTCTTGACATAGAGTCTGTTAGGCTACATATCTCCATATACTTGGATAATTGTAACATTCATACATTTGCATAGGCACTATCTTTCATAATATCATAGTTGGAGACTATGGTAATCCTAAAATGGACAGCCTGTGGAAGTAAGTCATAAGCCACCTCCTAGAAATTCCCTTTCTTTACATAAAGTCTGTTGTCACTATGTAAACGAGGAGATTCACCTCCATTCATCTTTTTTCCCCCAGAAACAACCTCCAAAATGCTTCCAAAGAGAAAGTAATAGAAGTTAGCTGCCTAATTTTCTATTTGGGAGCCAGTAAGTCTCACAAATGTCGATGCTCAGACACTAAACAAAATATTATCAAATGAAAGTTGCAATGTCTAAAGAGACCAGTACATCATGAAATGGTTCAACATTTGAAAGTTAATTAATACAATTCATCATGTAACAGAATAAGACAAACCGTATGTCAGTAGCTACAAAGCAAACAAATCAACATGCATTAACAATACAAACTGAAAACTACGAACAGAAGGGAAGTTGATAGCAATCTATTAAGAAAACCTACAGTTAGCATACTGCTTAGTAATAGAACATGGATCTTTCCCACAATTGTGTATTGTCCCTTGTCATGCAGATCCGGTATGCCACAAATGATTGTGCATGGAGAAAACCTGAACTGTTCTACAGGCTTTGAGAATGAGTTAATTTAATGTCAAAAGGTCAAAAATTGTATATCCTCACATTGGCTAAACTTAACTAAAATATTTTAAATGAGCTATGAATAACAAGTTTCAAATAGCTAAGAATAAACCAGTTGTGAGATTTACAGTCTTCTGCACTAGCAACTGAAAAGCATTACTAAGACATTAAACACTTAAATGAGTGGGGGTATAAAGTGTTGAGGCATGGAGGACTAGATGTTTTAAAGATCAATACTTTGAATGTACTCAATATTTATTGTCTGTGTCATCCCCATGAAGCTCCCCGGAGATCCTTTTATTTTGATGAAATTGATAAACTGCCTGAAATGTATTTAGAAATTGAGTGGACTCGTGACAGCTATAATAGTTATGAAGAGTACCTTCAGGACTATCAAAACCAAAGCAAGCTACAGAATTTGGGGTATTTCACTGTTTGTACAGTGATGACTACTAGACTAATGAAATAAATACAGAAATTAAACACTGGCTGAATTTCCCTCTGAAGGAAAATGCTTCAGCACCTCAGCACACGTGCCACACCCAGACATACTTCTCCTCTTAAGCTAGATTGTAAATTTAGTGTTTAGGAGGAATGAAGCCATAGAAGACCCGCCCAAAGAAACATGCAAATGAAACTTGGTGGCTTTTGTTTTTCCAAGAATCAAAGTCATGGTTTCAGATTTAAGACCAGAGGAATACCTAGTCCTACATGTCACAACCTATGTCCTATAAATTCACTCAGAGAAGGGGATTGAAAAGGAAAATCTCATTGGTGAGTTATATTCAAGAGAAAGCAGCTGAGTTTATTGCTGATGAAAGTTTCTGAAGAATTCCACATTCCAAATCACAGTCTGAAAAAAAAATCCAGAAAGAATGTACATAATCTAAAAGTGGAAATACTAGTGCCCTCTGCCCTGTCTTGTTCCCCTGAGACATGATGTTGCGTATAGTTAGTCTAGGTACAATATTATTGAATTTGCATGTGCCTAAGTATAGAGATCCCACACTGCCATACAGTCACTGTGGTGTCAGGTGACCAAGAAAATCTCTTTGGTGCAACTGGGAGCATTAGAACAATAATTCTAGCAGCCCACAGACCTGAAGGACAGTGTGAACTCTGAAAGATGCTTCAGATTTCATCAGATATCAACACAGGGGTGAATGTCAATAATTACCAGAAAGGACAGTATTCATCTTACTTTGAAGCCAAACACAAATAGACACCAATCAGAATCAAATGCTATACTATCACCTAGCCCTCTATAACATGGATGCAACCCTGAGTGGAAAGTGAGTGCTCTGTACTTAGTATGTCCCCACTAAATTCATATGTTGAAATCCTACCTGCAAAGGTGGTGGTATTTGGAGGTTGGGTCTTCAGGAAGTGAACAGAATGCATTCCCTTACAAGAGAAGCTCAAGGGAGCGCATTCACTCTTTTGCCAGGTGACAACAGACAGCTGCCCCAAGTAATTAAGTGTGTTCTCACCACAGACTCTGCCAGCACCTTGATTTTTGATTTTCTAGCCTCCAGAAGCATGTTATTTATAATCTACCCAATTTATAGTGGGTGTTCTGTTACACTAACTCCAAAAAAATGAGAGAAAATGTTAAATTAACTTATTTTAAAATGCATTGCCTGTATTTATCTAAAAAATAAAGGGTTTGAGGTGTGTGTGTGTGTGTGTGTTTATATGCATACCATAGACAGAATGCAAGAATTGTTTAAATTTGGAGAAAATTAAAGCCAGGTTTCCATAGAGCTGAGTACATTAATTAATAAGGACACCAGAGTTTCAGGCAGGACTAATAGCCTACTGTTGAAAGACAAGTGACCCTAGAGCAAGCAAACCATCTGCATGCAGTTGTGTTTTGTTTTGGTTTTGTTTATTTGTTTTACACGATCTACAAGGCCCTGTTATCACAGTTAGGGTGATGCTTACGGAACTGTGTGCCGTGTTTCACTAGTTCATAGCAAATGAACTGATGCAAGGAGAGAAACTAAGTTGAAAGTCTTCCTTAGTGCCTGACTCTCAGAGTCGTTCCAAAGGAGATGATGTGGTGTGTCAGAAGCGTATCCATGTGTGGCCCTGGTCTCCCTTCAGAGAAGGACTTGCTCCCATTTGCTGCCTGGACTGTTAACAAGCAGCCTGCAGCTGTCAGGTCCCTTCTGCCATCAGGTCTCCTCTGGACTTGCCTCAGCAGCACAGAAGCACTTCATCTAATGTCACACTCCTTCACAGGATGACACACGTCAGTGACTGATCATTGCTGGGATGCAAAGTTGTTCCATGGCTCATCTCCAGAGTTCTCTGTGGTGCTGGCAGAAGCTGTTGCTGAGCCTATATGGCAGCCCAGCTTGCTCTGTCTTTCTCTTCTCTACAGACGCTAGTCCAAAACACACTTCTTAATAAACAGCCACAGTGTCAACCATATTTGAGAGTCTCAAGAGATGCATCCTGGAGAACACAGAGGCTCTGACTCACCCGCCCCCCAACAAATACACCTTCAGATTCAATTTGCCCAGGAAAGAAAATATAGAAGATCTATCAGGCACCAAGTTTAAGAAACACATCTGGCTACTGCTAAGTACAGATGTGAGAACTGAGAAAGTACACTCACTTTTTGTCAGATGAATACAAATATTTTGTATTCACAGCTGCCTTTGGACATATTTAGTAGGGAAAGGGGGAAAGTACTGAGAAAGTCTTTGAAAATCTGTTTCCAAGAAATAAAAGCTGCATGCCAGAAGTCTCATAAAACTAAAAGAAAATGGCAAATTTGAAATAGCTAAAAAAAAAAAAAGGAGAGTTTATCACAATAGACTTACTGAAATGTTGATGTTCAGTAATGTGGTGACTGGTATCATTTCAAGATGTGACTCTATTACCAAAACAAGGGCTGGAATAAATATTTTTGCATAACCATATTTGTATTTCAATGGTACCTTGAGAGGATGGCTTGGAAAACTGACACCTAGATAATCAGTGACAATGAGCCATCAGACTGCATGCTCAGCATAGGGCAATTTCCAAGGAGGAAGAAATGCATGCAGCCTCTCCAAATTTGGCTTGGGGAGGCGTTTGCTTCAGCTCACTTGAATAAGCTACTGTCTATGGCTCACAAGGGTCCTGTTCTTAATGAGGTGGTGCATGGCAGCAACACACTGTGAGTCCAAATAGCAGATGGCAACGCTGTTGAGTAGGCTGGCATGCTGATGTCTAGCCACCAACTGGCAGCAATCATTATTAAACTGATTCATGTGCCCAGGGAAAATCTTCATAAGAGCCCTAGCAAATGTGAGCAGCAAGAGGCAAATGATCTGTCCCCACATCCTCTATAGAGCTACCTATATTTTAAAAATGACTATCCTGCAGGGCTATCTACATGAAGAATGGCAGGATGAGTGAACCGGAGGCTCTGTTCCTCTGCTCTATACTCACATGCCTTTAAATGTGATGGTTGTAATTTCTGTTTGGTGAATAGCTTTAGCTTGAAGGAAGTAGCTTTGTAGCTCTCCCCCTGTGGGCATAATGGCAAATATATTTGGTGTCAGGCAAGTGCTTGTGGGCTCTCCAAAAAAAGGTTCTGTGTAAATGTTGCACAAATTGAATACTGAACATTATCTGTCTCAAATTATGAAGTGATGGCCTAAACAGCGCATGGTCCATCCACCTGAGACAGGTAACTCATCCTGAATGAAAAGCAGATTAATACAAGTAAGAACATTACAAAACTATTCTCATATGAGGACCTTTCCACAAGAAAATCTTAGAAGTACTCATTTTGAAAACTATGTCTTTATAAATCAAACTAATAAGCAGGTAGCATACTTCCTTTTTTTTCTTTTTGGTTTTTCAAGACAGGGTTTCTCTGTGTAGCCTTCACGGAGATCTGCCTGCCTCTGCCTCCCTAATGCTGGGATTAAAGGTGTGTGCCACCAATGCTTGGCTACATGCTTCTCCTTTCAAATGAATGGATATGTGTTTGTAACGAGTAATGCCAATTTTTATGTTTGTATATAAACATTTTATTGAAAAACTACATCCTGTTTCATTTACTTTGAAAACACATTCACTTAAATATTGAAAATTCCTAGTTTTTTAAAAATAAATCTTCATTGAATTGTTTTCCTAAAATTGAGACAACAGATTTTATCATGCTTCAAAGAAGAAAGAAGTTAAGGAAAGAAAACACTACAAACAAGTATCAGATGTTGTATACATTGTCATTATGGGCTTTACTGGGTTTCTATAAAGCATTTTTGTTCGAAGTAATTTTTAACATGTTCTTTAAAAGGGTTAAAGAGGCTAAAGGATGTATCAGTGGGTAAAGGACCTATTGCCAAAACCAGTAACCTGAATTCAGTCCATGGTAGGAGAGCACCAGCTCCTACAAACAGTTGTCTTCCAGCATCTGCATGTGCACTGTAGCATGTAACTCCCTCACACAAAATAAAGATAAATCACTTTTAGACTCTTACCTTTTAGAAATCACTTATCAGTCAGATAAACATGTCCAGGCTGAGGTATCACAAGTTCTAGAGTGTGTGCTCTCCTCATGTCCTATGCCAGACATGAGAACAACTCTCTTTCAGAGACAACCCAGCTCCCCACCCCGACAAGAAACCTCACAAAGCAAAACTCACACAACATCACTCTGCTCTCTCATCCTTCTCCCCACACAAGGAATGAAATTCCAGAACTGATCACACATTTTAATACTTGAGAACAACAATTTCACATCAGCAAATGATCTGTGCTCTTCCTCAAGTCCTGGCTTCTTTCAAGAAATAAATTGAGCCAGTGTCAAAAGGTAAGATGTCCATGTCTTGCTCTGCATGAGAAAACAAATGCATTGTGTTAAAGCAAGTCTGAAAATGATGACCTCTTACTCCCTTAAGGTGGAGGGAATCTCTTAAAACACTGGCCAACCTACCATAGCATCAACAGCTACTTCTGAATCATTGCAAAATGTCATTACATCAGTAGGCTACAGTAATGAATGTGGGCTGTAAGTACTGATGCCAACCAGCAATGAGCAGTCTAGTTTAAAGCATGTGTTTCATGTATTTTAATATGGAGATGAGAAGGTGAATAAGTGTATTGTGGTAGTGTGGGTGCCAATCAGCCCCACTACCAAGAGATGGTTATTTGTTTTCTTAGATCAAGTGCCATACAGGGGAAATTCATCCTGAAACTTTCTATGTCCTAAACAGTTGCTTACAGCTCTCTCACCCTTCACAAGAAATGCTCCGTTCAAAGGCATCATTAATGCCCCCCCGTGCCAAGACCCAAGTCTCATTTGCAGGCTCTCATTGACACTCGATGTCAGAGGCATTTGATCAGCAGGGCACCATGACCATCTTGAAACACTTTCTTGTTTGCTTTCTAGAGAGTGTGCATGTGTCTTCCTCCTCATTCCTTCCCATAGTCTCCCAGTTAGCTCCTCATCAAAATCTGAACGGACTTCTGAGTGCCCTCAGGTTCTCTTGGTTCACTCAAGTATTTGACTGAACATGGATACTTAGCTATGTATATGGCATGTATGTCTGATAATGTCTAGAACATAGTGGACACTCAATTATATTTGTTAAATAACTGAATATGATGATAATAATAAATAACTATAGTAATGACCTGATAGTTCCTAACATCCCACTGAGAGAGGTGTAAATATCACTGCTCTTACCTCTTTAGGATAAGAAATTTAGATAAATCACTTTTTCTCAATATCCTGCCGCCATTGAGTGCCATAGCCGGGGCTTGTATTCCTGTAGGCTGGCTCCCAACCTCATGCTGTACTTTCAGAGCTGTGATGATAGAACTATGATAGAACTATGAAATGCTATTTTTCTTACATTAAAAAAAAGACCTAACACCTCATCTGAAAAGCAGAAATGAAAATATCATCAGTCTGCCTTCCACAAGTCATTAATGTAGACTAAAATAGTAATGAATTTGAAAATATAAATTACTACCGAACTGTGAGCAATTTCCATTCACTCGTTATTATTACTGTGAGATGCCGAAATAAGAACCGAAATGGAGGAGCAGCAAATCTTACAGACTGAGTAGAGGCATAAAAGGAGACAGGCAGGAAGGATCTAAAGCCTGGGTCTCCAGCTTTCCTCTTAATTGGAGAGACAGAAAGAACAAGCGGCAACATTTCATCCATGCAGTAGTGAGCACCAACTTCATAATTATAAAATTAAAAGTTTGTTAGCTTTACCATAGCTCCTTTAAAAACGAGAAACAGGACAACCAAGTCTGGGGATGTTATGAGATATAATTGGTGATTTTACAGTTAATTTGTTTGGTACCTGTGTGGTTTACCTCTCATTGATCCCAGAGACATTACAATTAGCACATCCCAGGGATGACGGGAGACAGAGGAGGCAGGGGAAATTGTTAATGAGGAAGCATGAAGCAGGCAATGCCAGCACCTCTTATTCCTTAGAATATACTCACTTTTATGCTGAAACCAAACATCACCCTTAGGAGCTCTCAAATTGACTTTCACTGTTAGATTCTGGATTGTAACACACTTTCCCTCCTTAGAAGTTCAGTTTTTATGGACAGGGTTGATCAGGGTCAACTTTAATTCTGAGACAAAAGTTTTGCCATGGGCACTGTTTTAATAGCAATGAGACTATCACATCCCTAGGAAGGGCAAAAAGACTTCTTGGCGGTGTTTGAGTCCGTTGTGAAGATCGCATTGACAGGTGAGGCCCCACCCACAATGAGCTGCTCCCACCCATCAATCACTAATTCAGAAAATGTTCTACAGGCTTGCACATAGCACAGTAACGGGAGCATTTTCTCAATTGCGGGTTCCTCCTCTCAGGTGACTATATAGAATGAGATGTTTTAACTGGATCCCCTTCCGATGGCTGCCTTGGCTTTTGACTGTGATGAAGTGAACAGCCTTCATCTACCACATGCTTTTCCCATGACAAAAGCCACCAAAGGTCTGGAGGGATAGGGTCAAATGTTCATGGATTCAAACCTCTGAAGCTAAGCCAAAAGAAACTTTTCATTTACATCTGTTAATTAGTCTTAATGTTCATAAACTAATACATTAAAATGGCTTAAAAATAAATATGATGTGAAGCCCATCCAGAACTTCTTACTATCAAGAATAATTTTTTAAAAAGCATTGTGAAAGAGGCATAAATGGGATATTGCAGTAATGCAGACTGAATGTTTCTTCTGTAAATGGGAAAGGAATGAATGATGCAGGGAGTACTCACTCATTTGTTCACCTCAGAACCTTGCCATAGCTTCAACACCTGCTAATCAGCCTCTATGATGTTGTGAACAAAAAAGCACAATGGCTGTGGAGAAAGAGAGCTGAGAATGAAGTTTCCAGCCAGACCACAGGGATCTTGAAATAACAACACAAAACATTTGGACCTTATTCAATGTTTTTTGAGACAATTAAAAATAAAAACCACCCATAACTGATACAAAATGCTAGGGGGGTTGTTAATAGAAAGTGACCTGGAGAGTATGCCTAGTGTCAATCATGAGTGAATGTCCTCTAAGATCCTTACTGTAGTGTTTGAAATGACAGAAGTCTGGACATCTAGCTATACAGATAGGATTTCTTTCTGTGGGTATGGAGTGAGGCCATTAGGTCGATATTGACACACAAAGACACAAAGAAGAGATGCTATAGAGATGCTGCAAGATTCTCCATAACTGTTCCACTTCCTAGAATGACAGGAAACTTAACAAAATGTAAAAAGCAAGTTCCTATCTAACCTTATCAACTGTGTTGGTTAGTTTTCTGTCAACTTGATACAAACTAGGCTCATCTGGGAAAGAGGGAACCTGAATTTAGGAAATGGCTCCATCAAACTACCCTACAGGCAAGTCTCTGGGGGGCATTTTCTTAATTAATGGTGGATATGGGAGGACCCGGCTCACTGTGGGCAGTACGACCTCTGGGCATTGACCCTGGGAGGTATAAAAACATAGCTGAGTGTGAGCCTGGAGAGTCAGTAGCCGAGTTCCGAGTCCCTCTGAGTTCAGCTTCAGTTCCTGCCTCCAGGCTCCTGCCTTGTGTTCCTGTCCAGACTTTTCTTCATGATAGACTGTGATGTGGAAGTGTAAGCCATATAAACCTTCCCCTCCAGGAGCTGCTTTGGACATAGTCTTTAGAGCACACCAATAGAAAGCAAACTAAGATGTCAGCATTTGCACTTACGGAGATACAAGCATTTTGATTTTGAAACTGTATGTGAAATAAATGTCAAGATGATTGATAAGAGCTAATCTAACAGACTCTTGTGCCAATCAAAATTGCATGTTAGTAATCCCCTACATTGTTGGCTCTTCCCAATACTGTCCTGCACGTCATATCTGCTGCAATGCTGTCTGTGTCTTCCACAAGGAGAGGCAATTTGGTTATCCCTTACACCTTAAATCAGTTAGCACTGAAATCCCATTCAGAGTTGCAACTGACAAGACATACTCTTCTAATTTTCATCGAGGCCCACTTCTGTGTGAGGATGCTCTCTAGAAGAGACTGGTATTATCTCTATGACAAACAGCCCTATGTGTGTGTTTTCATTATAAAACTACCCACCAAGAGTATGACATTATTCAAGGGACACAAAAGCCCACAGAACAAGTAAACAGTGAAAAGGGCAGCAAGACAAGACAGATGCTTCCTAATAAAAACATGGGGATGCATTTCACTCTCTGTGAGCAGCGGGGAGGTTAACCAACAAGATACCTAATACAAATACTTGCCAGATGCATTCACACAGACCTCTGGTTAAATACAAAGGGACACACAGATATTGTATTCATCACATTCACCCTCCCCCAAAGCTTATCACCCCACTCTACCCCCCCCAGCTCCACACTGTTATTCATTCACTTACTAAAGTGAGAAACCTGGGCAGCTCTTTGTCCTTTCCCTTAATCCCCTATACTGAAAATCTTCTGGATATATTGCGCTAACTAAATTTCTGTGGGTTTTCTATAGTATCACTAGCTGTTTCCCCTGGTTCTGGTACAAAACAAAGGGCAGGC